ATGTAGTTGCGCTTTTAGATTTGTAGTTGCAGTTTGCACTTCAGGGCCACCGTAGCTACATTTAAAAGTGTGCCACACATTTCAGACTTTGTCAAAAATCTGTAAAGAATAACTACTTTATGCTGGTTTGTTACCTCTCGGTTCCACTGTAAGTGGCAGTAGGCGTGTGCACCGCAGTGGTGCACTGCCAGGCTTGTCACGACTGATTGAAGCGATTCTAGCCAATCAGAGTGGTTTCACTGGAAGGGTCATGGCGTTCTATAATAATTCTCTATTTTAGCTGTTTGTCAAATCCACGTTATTCTGGAGCAGAGTGGATTGTTCAGGCATGAAGTCAGTTGATGAGGTAAAGCGGATGCGGTCAAGATTAGAAGTAAAACACTACATGTGCAGACTTTGGATTGCATTTCCCTGACCTCTATGTAATGAACAATTACGTTACTACAGGTAAACGACAGCCGTCATAAATATGACCAAGAAATCAAAAGAAAAACCCTACATATGTGAACTCACCTAACATTAAAAACATTAAATAAAGAGCAGGCATGAAAGACTTTGGTAGAGCTATGTTTCTAATTAATTGTTCTTTTTAAATACTACAAGTACACTACTATAGTGCAGTGATGCAATCCTGACTAATCAGAGTCCAACCATGCAGTCGCTCCATTTTGAAAACGCTCCTTGTGGAAGATGGTGTCTGTGAAATGCTGCAGCGTAGTTGAAATCCACATCCAGTGGAACCGAGAGGTTACACAAAAAGATACAGTACAAGTTTGTACTTGTTATATGATAGAATATGGTAAGGTCCAAGGGGTTTAAATATTTGTGCAAAGCTCTGTTATATGCAAGAGAGAAAGAAAAGCTAGCAAAGAAACAGAATTTTCAATCGTTATCTTGTTTTTTTTAAATATTTCAAGAAAAGAGAAAACCATACCATGCCGTTTGCTTGCAGATCAAAATCTGGGTTGAGGCTGAAGGGAACTCCATCTAGAGCTGCACGTAAAAAGGATAAGGAAGTGTTAGAGTAGCTGTTAATCAGCAATGAACAAATAACACCAAGAAAACATTCACAGATCACTTCCAGTGAGCTCCGGGCAGAAATTATGCTGCTAAATAAGCAAGGTTAAGTTATGGTTAAGAATTATACAAAAAAAAGCATGCGGTCATTGGTCAGAGCACCAGATAACAAAGAGCTGTAGCTGAAATAACATAAGAGGAACTTCACTGTAAGCTTAGATGGACACAACGTTTGATGCATAAAAATATTACATAGAAAATCAACTGATCCCTCAGGATGCCTCCTACAGTCAGCAGTCCAGATGACTACTTTTGATCTAGTTATCCAATGAATAAGTGTCACATGTGACGGTATTTGCTGACAATATTGCTGCTCTTCCACATCACCTGTGATAGCCTGAAGACTGCTGTCCCCAGAGGTCTCCTTGACATTCCTAGGCTGCAGACTGTGCCGGCGACTGCTCAGCCGGCTTGGCTGTGGAGCAGAAGGAAGGTTCCTGCAACAAAAATAAGGGTGATGCTGAGCCAAATCAGTAATGCCTGTGGGGTCCAAGCGGTGTTGCTTGCACCTTTCTTTGGAAGTTTACCTGGGTCGGAGAGGAAGAGGAGGAGGAGAGTCCGTTGCTTCATCCAGAGAGAGACCGCGGAGTTCCAAGCTGACACTACGAGGTTTGGCTTTGGGGACGGGGCTGGAAAAGGGTCCCTTTCTGCACCACAGCACATAGCCATGGATGTCGCTGCACAGATTGATTAGAACCTTTAAAGATGTATTGTCTTGAGGAAATACTTACAATTTCATTTCAATAGATCAGAATATTACCCATTTAATACCCTGTGCAATAATCCTTTTAAATAAGAGACTTCAGTGGTTTTATATATATATCTATATATACATAGATATGTGGGCGCACTGTATATACCCCATGCAACTTTTTCTCTTTTTGGCACCTTCTTTTTGACTATTGAGCTGATGCAACAAGTACATTTCTCCACTGTGAGATCAATAAAGTCAATCAATCAATAAGTTAAGTAAAAACGTATTTACTTTGGGCTTTTTAAACACATTGATATAGGTTCGATTTTAGTTTATTGTAATATGGATTTACAATATCAATGAAGCATGCCATGGAGGTGCGCCACTTGTGGATCTAATGAGAAGTTGAGTAGACTTTGGTTTGTAGGCCAATCAAGTACTATGATATAAATTCAACTGAATAATAATAATAATAATTCAACTGAATAAAAAAAAAAAAGTACATTCTGCAATAGAATAATGTTTTATCAACCATGCCACATTTTTTCCTTCCACTTAACTTTCCATTTTATTTGTTTGAACTTGATAAATGTTGGAGGACACACATCAGCAGAGGACATGGCTCTTCAAGCAGGTTTTATAATTCTATTCCTCTCCACTCCTTCTCCAGGGCCAGACTAAAGAATCTTGATTTCCCAATAAAATTTAAAATGTACTTTTATTTAACAAACAGAATGACTGAGTCTTTTTTTTTTCTACTTATCCCAGGAGATTTGCTTATACTGTTGTCCTTAGACTGGAATTACTTAATCCGATTGTTGCGGCAGTTCTAGTTAATGTCTGTTTGTGTCGGCTCCTTAAACCTGCTGACGATAGTTATAGACCTCCTCTTGTAAAGATCCTCCAACCTTCTGGACCTTCCCTTTAAAATCTTCTTAAAGCTTCAGTTATTCCTCTTGCTTGTCCGATTATTTTCCTTCCACTAAACTTTCCATTGAGATGCTCATGCATCATCAGTGTCAAAGAAACATTGAAATAATTGATACTTAATCAAGAGATCTTACACATTATACAAAATGCGTGCCCAATTATGTCTTGATTTGAGGAATTCAACAAACTTACAAGAAATAATCACCTGAAATATATCCCCGTATCTCTAAAAAATTTACAGTTTCTTTTTTAAACCAAAAAAAAAATGACATAAAACTTTTCAAATGAATATTTTTCCCAAGGCCTTCCTATTCGTATGCAGGTTTGCCCACAGGAACATTACTAACCCAACATAAGTGTAGTGCTGCAGCAACATTTTGCTTCTGGCTGTCAGTTTGATATCCAACACAGCCGTCTCTACGCTGGCCACTGGGGAGGTGCGAACGATCACCCGCTTCTTCTTTGACACCGTGGTCTCTGAACACACATTAATTAAACAGTTAGCAACAACTCAAAAACTAGAATTGAGAAAATAACCAAAAACTTGATTATCGTACAAAATCTGAAACAATCTAGGCACTTCTATACGTACTTGGATCAAGGTACTCTGGGATATAACTGTAGCCGTGAGGAATGGAGTCTTTGTCTGAAATAATCTGAATGTCTGAAAGCACCTCACCACGTTTCAGGTCCTGAAGGAGAACAATATGGTTCATTATGGAGGATAAGAGACCATTAGCTGCTGAGGGGAGCTGGAATACCCCAAAATCTGCTTAACATCTCTCTGTTAGTCACCTTGCTGAAGCAGAGGTAGTATCCGGACTTCATGGCAAAGCTGCGAGTGAAGTTTGCTGCTGATCCATCTTCTGTGATACTGATCTGCAGAAAGTTGGGATTTAGAAGATAAACGCATAAGGCAAGCTAAATAAACCAATAGGTCAGTTCCAATGATTAAAAAAGAAAATATAATCTTAAGAGAAATATCTGCCTTTAAATCAATGAGAATGGATTAAATCTGCGTGGGAAGAGTATATTGTCCCTCAGCACAAGATTTCATTAGGTTTTGTTAACAGTGTCATTATACTATTGCTGTTATGTGCCAATAACTCATTTCAGACACATATTTTAAAAGGGCCCTATCACATATTGCACCTATAAAAACCTCACCAAAAAACAAATGTTCATGTGAATATGAAGGAATACACGCCAAGCATTGGTCCAGATAACGCTCACTTTGTTATTTTTGAGCCAGAAAATAATGATTTTACATGGTGTGATCAGCAGACATCGCACGCTGTCGCCAACTGCTGTCAGTACTTACTCATGCATCCATCAACTTGGCAGTTTCCTTCTGTTTAGCTCCCACTTCAGCGAAAAACACCAACATTTCTAATGTTTTTCAAGCATAGATAGACTGAGACAGTATTTTTGGCCAATTGTTATTATATTTTTCTTTATTGGATGATACTTTCTTGTGTTCTCCAATTCATTAGTGCATTCAGCAGCTGTGCCTTGCAATCATGAGCATCAGAGCTGCCACTAACGACTAATTTTCTAGTGAGTAATCTTTCGAATAATTTTTCAATTACCGGTAGTCGACTAATCTTAATTTAATTTAATTAAATCCAATTCAATTCAGTTTATTTCTATAGTGCCAATTCACAACACACGTCATCTCAAGGAACTTTACAGTTCAACCAGATCATACACTCAAATTGATACAAAGTTTTCTATCTAAGGAAAACCAGTTGATTGCATCGACTCATTGACTCTAATGCAATCCCTCACAATAAGCATGCTTGTAGCGACAGTGGAGAGGAAAAACTCCCTTTAACAGGAAGAAACCTTCAGGAGAACCAGGCTCAGTGTGAGCGGCCATCTGCTGAGGCCGACTGGGGTTCAAGGAGACAGAAGAGGAGATACAAAAGGTATGACTAATTTCCCCCCTAAAAAAATCCCCACTGCTTGGGGTTGGCAAAGCAGCTGCAGTGTGGTGACGCCAAGTAAAAAAAAAAAAAAAATTGTTTTGTTTCTTGGAAAAAAAAGCCGATAAACAGGCTGACAAAAAATAATCAGAGACGAAAAAAAAATCTGTAGATGAATTTTACGAGTAAGCCGACTAATCATGGCAGCACTAAAGAGCATGAATTGCCACTCCCTCCATTTGATATCCAATAAATTTTGTTAAAATTTTCTAGTAAATGTTAATATTTCTGAGTAAGTTAATGTTTTTGTAACATTTGTTATTATTATTCCATTTTATAATGAACATGGAAGAAAAAGCAATATCAGCTTAAGAAATGGGAAAGAGAGAATGGTTGCACACGTAGGGGATCGGTTCAATTTCTTTTTTACTTTTCATACTTGGACCTTTTCTCTCTTTTACTCATACCCACACCTGCAATATGCCAGGTGGTCTCTTTTATGCTAAACACAAAAAAAAAAAACTTAAGTTTACTTTGAAATTGACCAAAAACAAAGTGTAAAACAACAAGGTGCTATAACCGATATTAACCAGATGGAGAAATGGTGGAGAAATGTTTAAAATATTATAATATGTGAATGGAGAGAAGTTTACTTACTGGTTTTCAAAAATGCTATCTTGATGAGTTTTAAAGAATACTCCAAAGGAGGACTAAGTGATATTACATGTAGAAACCAGATCCATTAGTTTTAAGTAATAACATCCTTCTAACCTTACAATATTCAGCTTATTGTGACTTTCTTGGAGCCATATTTTGAGCTAAAGAGAAAAAAAATCTTATAAGACTATAAATGTGTTTTCCTACCAAGGTGAACTCTTTGGGACAATAACCGGCGCTGGAGGTCCAGGCCACTGCTGTCAATGGCAGGACTTTCCCCTGCAGATTCAAGGACATCTATAGAAGAAATAATGAAAATTACAAAAACAGAATGCACTTATTTTTCCTAAGAAGCCTACTTAAAAGCTGCCGCCTAAACAAAAAGTCCCTTATTTGTGTAAACATGAAAACAATCTAAATTAGCTAACAATCCTCAGGGTTTAGCTTTTAATTTAGGATGATTATTTTATCTTTAAATCATTGTTTCTCCAATGAGGACTGATCTTTACAGCTAATGTTTATCGAAGCTGAATAATCAGACGTACAGCGTTTTCTGGACATTTAGTCAAAGAACTGATGAGGGACATCAGATTGGAGGGTCAAGATCAGTGCGTTTGTGGGCGCGTCCTCCTATTTGGTACTGAAGGAACATTATTTGTGTCCATATGACAACAAGTGGCCAACAGGCTTCATTGTTTCAGACAGCCAGGTCACATTTAGTCTGATCACTAAACAATGACCAACAGAAAGAAACTATTCAGTGAAAGACATTCTGCTGGTGCAGCAGGAGAAGCTCAATAAACAGAGAGAGCCCACACCAGAGCCCGCCTTTGCATGTTAGAATGGATTGTCTCGGAGTTTTTATTGCTCTTTAAAATATGAATGCTGTTTGGTCATTTTTTCTTTTCTTATCAGAGTTCTAGCATTTGGAAGACCTATTTGGTCTTATTTACATGCATGCATCATTTTATTTTTTATCAAATATTAAGTATTTTTGTTTTCTTTGACCTGCTTTGAATTTTGAAATTTGATACTAATCCCTTTAACAGAGCAGAAACTGGTTTTATTTTGTGACCCACTTCACCTTATCAGGAGCCAGGAAGCCCAACAGAACCATAGATACACAATGCTTCAACGATACACAGCGCAAATATATATATATATATATATATATATATATATATATATATATATATGAGTTCTGGATAGAGCTACGGAAAGGGATTAGGGACACTGAAAAAAATAAAAAAAGTTTACATGTTTTTTAAAATATTATTTCAGTTTAATATGTTCTCAGAAATCTGACTTTTTTTTCTCAGAAATCTGACTTTTTTCCCCCCGCAGATTTCTGACTTTAATCTCAGAATTCTTTTTTTTTTTTTTCCAGAATTCTGACTTTTTTCCTCATAAATATGACTTTAATCCCAGAATTCTGACTTTAATCTCAGAAATCTGACTTTAATCTCAGAAATTTGACTTTTTTTCCTCAGAATTCTGACTTTTTTCGTCAGAAATATGACTTTAATCTCAAAATTCTGAATTTAATCTCAGAAATCTGACTTTAATCTCAGAAATCTGACTTTTTTCCCCTCAGAATTCTGACTTTTTTCGTCAGAAATATGACTTTAATCTCAGAATTCTGAATTTAATCTCAGAAATCTGACTTTAATCTCAGAAATGTGACTTTTTTCCCCTCAGAATTCTGACTTTTTTCCTCAGAAATCTGACTTTAATCTCAGAAATCTGCCTTTAATCTTTTTTTTAATCAGAATTCAGCCTTTAATATAAATAATAAAGAAATTCTGATTCTAAATGTGATCAATGAATAATCATGTTTTCAGCCACAATTTGCTTTTACCTTTAATTTCTGGAAACTAGCAGCAGCTGAACATTTTGCCCTGTGAGAGGCTTCTAGAACAGGAATAAATCTCCCATTCTTATCTCCTTACCAAACAGCAATATGTCAATATATATGAGCTTTAACAAAAAGTTAAGAAACGAAGGAAACAATAATTATTATCATCATCATCATCATCAATTCTGTTTTATATGTGTACAGGAATCGGTATTCTCATTCAGTTTGTCTATAAAGATCTCATTGTCATTAAGTGAACATTATGTTTTAACAGCGGAGGAACAATAATAACCTGTTGCTCTCAGGTACATTAACTCTTTATTAACTTATCTCAAAGGCTAGAAGCCGCGATCACATCAGATCTTTGGTATCTTAAACCATTAGGAAACTAAACTTAATGGTTGTCCTATTAAAATTTCACATTATCTATCATATATCACAGAATGTAGCGATATTCCAACTAATATAAACAATACAAGCTGAGTTAACCATAGGCTCGATTCTTCAGTTGACAAACTTCCCTGTTTCCAACTCAAAATAAACCAAATGCTGCTTGTTTCACATTAAGGCAAATACAGGAAATAAAGGTGGAAATTCTTACTCTGTCTGTAAAGTTGTCAGTTTTTCCCGGTGAATAAAGAACTTGTGAGCTCCTAGCCCAAATGTTCCAATCGCTGTCGTGGAAGCAGGAAGTTCTCAATTAATTTAAACTACATTTCCCATCAGCCTCGGACCTTACGTCATTGCAAGGAAGCAATTATTTCAATATGAACCACAAGGTGGCAGCAGTAGCTCTATTTATTGTGAATTTAATTATATTTTTGGTCGTTCTTGTTGATATTTGGTTCCTATTTTAGATAAAGCCTTCTGAGTTCAAATGTAAAATAATAATAATAATAATAATAATAATAAATAAAACACACTCACAGACACACAAAAAAATTACAATACATAAAAATGTCAGCAGAGACAAATTACCTAACAATCAAACTTCTCTAGAGGGATGAACCGTGACAGTACATTTGAAATTATCTTTGCAACAAAATATCTTTATTCTTTTTTTTTTTTTTTACGGGCTTTTTGACCAACTATGGGCAGTAGAGGTGGGGAGAAAATGAGTTAATTCTATGAGAATGTTTGCTGATCATTCCCTAAACTGGAATGATTAATGTTTGGGTTGGTAAAAGGCTGATTTTTGAAGTACTAAAAATGATCTTTTAGAAATTAAGAATGCTTTAAAAAAATATCTACGCTTTGGATATCTAATTGTCACTATTTGTCATTGCAATAATTTTTTTTTTACATTCTAGAGTAAGAAATTGTTTATGAATAGATTATACTTTTTAGACTTTTTTTCTATATCTAGGTTTGTATTCATAACCATATTTAATTTGTTTTGTTAGCGATTTTTTTGTTTGACAATCTACCTTCCCTCGGGTTATTAGCTTACATTTTTCTCTCATCTGCTCATCAATTTGTTTGTCTGACACTCCGTATATTCTTCCTAATTTGAAAAAACACCAGTATATAACACTTAACATGTAAAAAAAATAAATATGGCGTAAGATAATTTAGGTTTGCAATTCTTAGTTGAAGGACTGTATGAGCTTCTCTGATCTATAGATTACAAAAAGGGGATGAAACTGCTGATTTTCAGCATGCATTTATAATCTTAACCTTATTTTCCAAAATGGTTGGTGGGTACATTTTTAATGTAAGATTCACATGCATCACTTTTTACTTTATTTTAGATTTTAATAGTATGACTGAGCATTTTTATACATGTATCCACTGGCTATTTATTTATTTCCTACAAGGAAATTCCTACAAAGCAGAGTGAATCTATGAAAACTAAAAAAAGACTGATTTACTTTTCCTCAACACAACAATACAAACATTCTCAAACAACCATTCAAATAGAAAGGAAATCAGACAATCATTAGCTTAAAAGCAGGAAGAATATGTTATAATCAGCTTCTGGTACGTGACTGGCCCCCGCAGACAGTATTTGGAAAAGGGGGTCAGCAAGGAGGAAGGATTAAAGTTCAAAAGTGATAACAGGGGAGGTTGTGTAGAGCAGTGACAGTGAGTTCGTTCTTTGCTCATCATGGATTCATCTGCTGCAGCTCTTATATTCTGCTCCTTGATATGTTTAGGTAAGAATTACAGTTCTATTCACACAAAAAAGGGTTTTTATATGATTTTAAAGAACCAAAAAAAGGTTGCTATATTTTTTCACAGTTTTTTTCCCCCAATTGGTTTAAAATCTAAGGTAAAACAAGACTGTATCTTTTGGCAAAAAAAGTTCTTTAACTCTGTTGGAAGGGTAATTTTTTGTCACTTTATGAAGCATTTGACTTGTGTTTTAGTGCTGTACATATTACTTAATAAAGAAAACAAAAAGTAAATCTTTTTTTGCAACATATATATATATATTTTTATTAGGAAGCAATGCCCATTACAGTAGAGATGTGTGTCCATGTGCACATTGGGTAACAGTAATTAACAATATGTGCATTTTGGCATCGTAAAAATATTTTGCAGCTCGAAGAGTTGAGAATAAGGCGTACAATAGACCCCCTACGAAGTTTTTGTTAATTAAATGGTACGGACAGTATAGCACACAACTGAAAATAAATAAATAAAATTTAAAAAGTAAGTTAAATTAAAAATTATTATAGAGCGCAATAATAAATGCAACATATTTTTTGGTTTAATGGTGCAGTTATACAATTTGTTGTTTTTAAGTTTTCTTTTAGGTAAGGGTTGCTATTTTGCCACCAAAGCGTCTATTTTTTTAAGATATATTTGCTTTGGGGTGATTGTTTATTTACACTTTGTTTCTCTCTGTCTCTGTTTAAAGATTCACAGAGTTGATTTGTACTTGTTTTCGTCCTCACATGTGACAGCTGTATCTGTCTCTGTCTCTGTTAGGGACGACTCAGGCTCCAGTTGTCTCTGTAGAGCCTCGAACCGCCACTGTCCTTCAAGGAGAGTCTGTCAGCTACAGTTGCCAGGTAAAAAGCACCGTCCAACCAGTTCAGCTGGAGTGGAGAAAAGGCAATAATCAAGCTTTGCCAGGTCAGAAGTACTAACACAGTTTGTATAATATTGCCAAAATCTGTGAGGATACACTGAATGGTCTTTTTTTTCCGGCCCAGACAATGTAAAGGTTGGTCGTGATGGATCTGTGCTGACGATTGCAAATGTTCGTCCTGGAAACCATGGCCAGTATCGCTGTGTGGCCATTAGTGCCGCTGGTCGCAGCTTTGCCAACGCTGTGCTTAATGTCAAATGTAAGTGTGACCCATGCTTTAAGCACCACTAGTAATAACCACAACAGCCTTTCATTCCACCAGACTTTCACACATGCAAAGAAGTTTTATTAGGTTCACACTTTATAGAAAATATCCTGAACGCAAAGTAACGTTGCTTACAAGTTTACAAAGAAATAATACTAGATTATTTAATGTTAAAACAATGGCTAACACAGGGGACTATGCTTACCTTGTGTAACATTTAATTAATTATTCTTGAAAATATTCAGATGCTTGAAGAAAAACATGTAATAAAACACATAAATAAAATGACTTAAATGCTCCCAAAGCAAATACATACACAAATAGCAGGTGAATATGCAGGACTAATAAAAAAAAAAAAAAAAAAATGACTTAAATGCTCCCAAAGCAAATACATACACAAATAGCAGGTGAATATGCAGGACTAATTAAAAACAAAAAAAAGCCTAGTCACTTTGGTTTGTGGTGGCCCAACATGACTGTTATATTTTGTGGGGGGACAACCAGCATATCAGAGTAGCATATTTATGCACCTCCGTATCTCTTAGTTCCTCCTAAGGTAAAGCTGACACCTGCGGGCCCCCTGCAGATCACGACAGGGGACCCTGTGACCGTGGAGTGTAGTGCTACTGGCAGGCCACGCCCCACCCTTACCTGGAAACGCAGAGGATCCACACTTCAATTAGTATCTCAGGAGATAAATGACGTCAAGATAATAAAGGTAAAACAAGATAAAAAGAAAGGTTGCACTTGAATCTTTTTTTAAATTTCAGATAAGTGAAATAAAATGTTCGACTGTTCTCCCAGTGGCCTTCCACACGCCCAGAAGACTCGGGAGTGTACGTCTGCCAGGCTGTCAACGTTTTAGGGGAATCTGAGGCTGCAGTGGAGATCACTGTGGTGGGTCCCCCTGGAGCTCCAGTGGCCTCAGTGAATCCTGGAGAGATGACAGTTATTGAGGGACAAACTGTAACAATGGAGTGTAAGGCTACAGGTAGGATGTCTGTTAGTGTTTTCTAAAAACAAAAACCCCAGAACATTCCAGCTGTGATCCTGGTTCTTTAATGTATCCTCCCTAGGATCCCCTCCTCCAGTCATAACCTGGTCCAAGCTACGAGCACCCCTGCCCTGGAAGCACACTGTTGCTGATGGAGTTCTGACTCTAAATGGGGTGGGGCGCCAAGACTCAGGACAATACATCTGCAATGCAACCAACATAAACGGCTATAGTGAGGCCTACACTGACATGGAGGTGGAAAGTGAGTTCATGGTTTTGGTGCTTTCTATTCTAAAATTATTATACCTGTCACAATACTAATATCACAAAGGGCTGTGTTAAAATACAATACTGCTGCATAAAATTTTACAAGGGCTATTCAATTTAATTCTGTTTTTGATAAAGCGGCAATTCGCAACATGTCATCTCAGGGCACTTTACAGAGACAATTCAACCAGATCATACTACAGTGAGATTGATTCAAAGTTTTATATTTAAGGAAAACCAGAAGGTTGCATCGACTCATTCACTCGAAGGCAAACCCTCACACCAATCATGCTTGTAGTGACAGTGGAGAGGAAAAACTCCCTTTTAACAGGAAGAAACCTCCAACAGAACTAGGTTCAGTGTGAGCGGCCCCGTCCAGGAAACACACAGCCAGGCAGATGAGCTCTGAGCCAGCTCCCACGTCAGAGGATGAAGAGAGCACATCCAATTAGTCACAGTAAGAGAAACAGGACTACAGTGAGAGAGAGGCCAAGTTCCAACATTTATAAATAAAGGTGTTGATGGCAGCAGCACAGCTGATATTTCTCTCCAGGATGGAGTCACAGCCAAACAGTACCAGACCAGATGAAGCTACTACAAGAAAAAGCATAGAGAGCTTAATGTTAGAGATTGAACTATCAAATTCTGCAGAGTGGGAGTATAGAGAGAGAATGAAGCAGAATGATGAAAAAGGGTCCCTATGTCCTCCAGCAGTCTAAGCCTATAGCAGTATAACTATAGAGATAGCTCAGGATTATCTGAGCCACTCTAACCATGAGCTTTGTCCAAAAAGATAAGGGCTATAAACACATTATTTACTGATATGATAAGATATACTTTCACTGGAAATATTTCCACATAAAAACCTACAGCATCTAAGGTCCCAGGGAGTGAAATGGTTGCAAAAATGAGTAAATGTGATTTATGGCATCTAATATAACTATTACAATATTAGTTTTTTGTTTGTACCTAAAGAGTAAAAACATAAACTTAATATAGACTAACAGTAAGGCAGTGGTAAAATCAATCACAAAGCACTTCAAAGACAGCGACTCTAACCATAAAAGCTGTTTGTATTCTTATTGTGTTTCACACAGAAAAAAATCAATAATAATGCACCTATTTCTACTTCTTTTTCCTCTGTTAATGATCCTCTTAATTAAATCCAGCAATGTTTATCTTCCAGTAAAAAAAAACTCATTTTAAGACGGCTTCTTTTTTACTCCTCTCAAAGCCACCACCTGTAAACAAACCAAAAAAGCTGTCTGTCCCTAACCTTTACACAGTCCCTCTCCTCAAAACAATGATCATGTATTTTTTTCCTCCACATGCAGCTCCTCCATACGCCACCTGCCTCCCTGACCAGGTACGCCTTCAGCCTGGAAACTCTCTCATAATCCAGTGCCTCGCCCACGGCTCTCATCCAATCCAGTTCACCTGGAGCCGTGTGGGAAGAGGTAATTTACCTGCTGGAGCAGAAACCACCAAGGATGGGAAACTGATAATAGCCAGCGTTAAACTAAGTGACAGTGGAACGTACAAATGTGTGGCTACCAACCACATCGGCTCCAGTGAGGCCTCTGCAAAAATTATCATAAAAGGTAAGATGAGCTTTTGAAAGACTCCAAATCAATGATTCACATTTTTTGTAATATTCTTAACTCTCTCTCTCTCTTTTTTGTCATTACAGCCTAAATAAGGATGGAAATCCAAGTTTCTCACTGGAATACAAATGTATGCAGTAAAAATGATATTTAATATATAAATGTATTGCAGAGAATGAATGCCAAGATTTCTAATTAGAATACTTGTTCAAGAATTACAATACCGCTTTGATTGTTTGCTCTTATTGGGAATTAAAGCTAAGAAAAATATTTGATTTGAAAATTGAAATGTCTATTTATGTACGTTTTACTTTAGATCGTTAAACCAAGGGCATTAACCAAACAAATACAAAATTCTGTTTTATAAAGTGAATCATTTAGATTGATTAATACTATACTTTGTAAAACATATCTTTTTATTCTACATATTTGTTCTATAGACTGGAAAATAAGGGTAAAATTTAAACAATATTGAAAAAGAAATGTAGCTCAACTTCTTGCTGTGAAAAAGAATGTATCCCCTTACATATTTCTTCTATTTTTGCTTTTTTCATGCTTAATTGTTCAGTTTAAAGACATTTTAATACAGAAATTACTTCAAAAAATACAAGTTCAAAAAGAACACGGAACAACACCTAAAGCAATGTAAGCCTACTTTGCTTCATTTCATGATTCAATAGGAAGAATCTCATTTGGCACAAATGGCATTTCAGGGCGAGATCCAAAGTGAAAAACACAAATGCCCATTAATCATTGACCGAGAAATTGGAAAAACTTTCTAAGGAATGGATAGTTTATGAACTTTTTTGAAAATGTATTTGAATTAAATTAACACTGTAAGAGCAGCAGGAAAAAAATACTGTGCAGTTGTAAAAAAAAAAAAGGGGACAACCAGTTATCACAAATGGAAATGTATGTAAGTATATGCAGTATTTAACTATGTTTGAAGGTTTCTACTACAAGGAATTGTGTAGCCTCTTTACTTAAAGGACACAAAACAAGTATCATTTATGTTAAAATTAAGTCTTCGTCAAATTTGGTAGGAAATGACTGAAAAGACAGAAATCCTGCCTGAGAAAAGGAAAGGAAATGGGCTTCAAACATATCAAAATATATGCATCAGGAAGAAATATTTTTTTCACAATATACTCATAGATGTGCAAAAATACCTTAATGAATCTGGTTTGAGAGAGAGAGAAAGATAGAGAAAGGGTTCCCCTACGTGGCTGCAAATCACTGGGTTGTTATCTTGATCTGACTGATTGCCGACAGTTGAAATGCAAACAAAAAATAACAGTCCAGGGTGCACTGAAAGTTCAGAGTATGAGGCCTGCCTGTAAGAAAAAAGGGCAATGAAACAAACCAGCAGTGGAATAAATAGAGATACTGATGACATATTACAAAGGGTTAAGCATACTGTTTTATCTTTAAATAATCTTACTAGCTGCATTAGCAGCAATTTTATAAAATCTCCAGGAACACTGCCACATTCTGCACCCCAACCCTAAAAAGCTGAATGAAACCATGGCCAAAGTACCACCTTCTACCCTTTGAACTTCAGGACCAGTGAAATAAGAGAAAGTTACAGAGGTGTAAAGTGCAGAACAGCATCTTCTGATGGATCAAAACACCTGGTTTTTAAGTATAGGATGTGAATAAAGCATGTGTAATTGTTGTAGAAAAAAAAATAAAAAATAAAATAATATATATATATATATATATATATATATATATATATATATATATATATATATATATATATNTATATATATATATATATATATAAATATAAATATATAGGTTCATATAATGATGAGCTGTCAATATAGACAAGTTGACTGACTCCTCTGAGAAATGTAAAATTGAGTTAAAAGTTATACATATAAAAATAATTAGGTGGATTCCTAAAAATAAGAAGTGAACTTGTCGTACCTCAGGATTTCAGAGTAGAAAACCATCTAGTTTGATCAGAGGATCAATAGAAGGATGTGCTGCATTTGTTAACACAAGGCCTGGGCGGAAAGTCAGCAGGAATGACCACAGAAAACAGCTACTGCTGCTTCTTATCAGACCAGGTTGACGTATAAGCTGATTCCCAAATTATTTCCAGTGCGTCATTCTACAGAGAGACAGTTTTCCCAAATATTTTCCAAGTTTTTCAGGAAAGGAGGTTTCAACTAATTCACTCTCTGGCCAGACTCTGCAACTCACACACACAAAAAGCAAGATAACCATCTGCCTCAGTCAAAGTGAATTTCATACATCATTTAATGACAACTGGAAAAGACTAAATAAGAACTTTTTGAAATGATTGGAAAGAGAAACATTTTTCTTAAAAGTATGGAAAGTTGCATCAGAATGAGCAATGTCTGAAACGACTGGAATAGTTTCCTTATGACAGATGGGACCAAAGTAGAGATGGGATACCCAACATACACATCAATGTCCTGAAAACCAAGTACAGTAAGGTGTTGGAGGGGTGATAGTTTAGGTCTCCACTAACACAACTAACCCAGAGGGCCCCTGTGCTCTAAAGGGGCCATCCGTCCTGCAGATAAAAACATACGGCAGGAAACTGATCCCAGATACAGCAGCACAGTAGAAAAATAACGGCAAAGACAGAGAAACAAGATAACGCAATGGCACACTCAAAGTCCAGACTTCAAACCTAGCCATAAGGCTATCCTTGGACATCAATGAGCTGAAACTATGTTATGTAGAAAAGTGGGCCAGAGCTTCTAAGCAACACTCAAAATGAGAGAAATATTCAATCTTAAAAATAATTCCTGTCTCAGCTGATGCTGCAAGTGATAAATCTGTCTTTTTTTGCACAGGTGTGGTTAGATTTAGATCATTTTAGAACCCATATGATGATGATATCAATATACGTTTCCTCTAACTGTGACCTCATATCGATAATATTTAATCAGAAATGTGAGATTCACTCCACTGTTCCAGGACACATCTCTTCAAGTTTCAAACAAAAAACATAAAATGTACACAATGTGCATCGCAAAATATCACACATTTCTGCTGTTGTTCTAGTACACAGTTTCCTTTAGTCTGCATAAACACAATGTCACAAAGATTCTGATAAACCCTTTTAACAGATGTATCTTTCACCATATGCAAGTGTCAACATAAATGTACAGCAGTGTTCACACTTTAACCACGAGCCGAATGTTCTTTCTTCTTTCTGTTTTTGGTATTCACAATGTAGGCTTTAGAGAGAAATACGCCTGAGAATGTCCTGCTCTTTGCTTTCACACATCAGCATGTTTTTCTTTCTGCCATGAAAGTACTTAAAATCCAGCTGAACATTATTCAGTCTTTAACCACATGATGGCAGTATGGAGCCTACAATTCACATATTGCCCTCTGGCCAAAGAAGCATTCTGAGCTGTTGCATGCTTAACAAATGGAGGGACAGATGCACTGAGCATATGTGGTAAAATCTTTCCAAATGACTTGATGTAATACAAACATTCACAAAAGACAGAGCGCTGATCTGTCTTTCACTGGTCTTAACAGCTGTCTGTCTACATGGGGATTATCTCCGCCCACTGAACAAAGTTTTATTTGACCAGATCCACATGTTACAACATGCAAGGACCACTGGTCCAGCTGCTGAAAGTAGCTCTGCTTATATTAGGCTTAAGGTGAATGTTTAGGTTTTTTTTAATCGCAGCAGAGATTGAAACTGTGTGGCGTTCAGAACAAACACTGCATCAGCTGAGTGTGATGGTGGCCTCCCTCTTAAAACTCTCTGTGGCTTTATCCTCTCCACTATCTGTATCTTTACAAGCACTTCAAAACTAGAGAGGAAACATCTGCCCTCTGTCACCGTTCCGCCACCCCCTCACTTCACAAAGACGTAGAAAAAGTATGAGAGTCGAGGATCAGAGAAGGATGCATCATTTTTATGCAGTGTTGTTTAAAAGTCTTGAACAGTTTGGCTTATATTGTGTTTTTTATTGTGGCATAATGGTGCTTTACCAAAGTATTCATATTTATTAAACTTCCAACTTTTTGTCAAGTCACAACTAATGTGCATCTTTACAGCCCTTTATCCTAATAGGATTTTAGTGTGTTTCAAAGTTACGGACATTTATGATTTATGTCGTGTTTTGGTTCATAACAACACTTTGTTTTATTGCATTTAACACATGAATTATGTTTTACCTTGAAGTGGAAGTAAAATAAAACAGTTACTGCAAAAGTAGGTTGGGGAGCTATAGATGCAGAAGCATCTTTCACTGCAGCTGCAGCTTTGGGGTTATGTCTCTATCAGGTTTGTAAAATACCAGAACTGACATATAACTTTATATTTTTGTCTGCATGTGTCATGATCTGCCCTGATAGCTGACCTTTATTGTTCACTTCATTCACCTGCCTAACTCTGTCCTGTTCCTAATCATTCCTCATCTTATCAACCTGTGTCTGTTCCTTTATATTCAGTTCAGCCCAGCTATTGGGGCCAGATCATTGTTTGTTTGTTTTGTTACTTTAAGTTAACAAAGCAAATGTTTTAAGTTTGTTTTAAGTCCCCCGTAATCCTGGCTCCTGGAGACCATTTTAAAGTTCTGCAGTAATTCCAGTACCATGTATTGTCCCTCAACCACTGAGCCCGCCTGTCTGCATCGGTGTGTTTCTGTTTGAGCTTGTTGCTTGATGCATGGAACTCTGAACCCACATTCACACTCTGTGTATTCCTGGAACCCTGGACCTGTCTGTTTCTGTGTGGAACCCCTGACCAGGCTGCAGACTCCTGGATTCCAGAACTGTTCCTGTCTGCTCTATATTCTGGCCTTGATAGGATTCCAGCCTGCTCATAGGAGTTGCTGCATGGGGGACACTCTGGGCGGCTGTGAGTCGCATCTCCACTGGCTGGATTCTGCTTTTCTCGGAGAGGATGGACTGAACTGTTAAGCCAGGTAAGTGACTCACAACGCTGTTCATCTCCGTCAGATGATCGTGGTCACGTACCTGTGTTTCTCCCTCCAGAGTGTCAGTGATTGGGCGGTGCCCCTCCTCCCCCCTGCAGTCGCTGCAATCCTAAGATCCACAGCTCTGCGCTTCTGTCTGTTTATTGTCTGTTTTATTCTAATGTTTTTTACTTTCCCACTGTCTCTCACCTTGAATACTGGGGCATCTGATCATCAAATGTTGTGAACCTCTGAGTAGGGGCTAGAAACATCAGGGGATCCTAATGCTAAATGAATGGGTGCTTCCTGGTCCTAGCTCCTTGCTTACTACC